AAATTTTTGCGGCCGGAGCTGGTCGTAACCCGAAAAGTTCGTTAACAGAGGCATTCGTAACCCGAGGTACCACTGTACTTCTACTTTTTAGATAGTTCACACTGAGAAAGTAAATTCTGAAGAACCTTTTTAAAGAATCATTGCAAATAAGACAAAGCAACTTCTGTGTAATTTCAGCCACCGTTGTGTCTATATAATACAATTTCAAATTATCTCTTGAAGTGCCATTTGCTATTAATCACCTATAGCTGTGCCTTCCATTTATGCTTCTGGATATATGGTGCATGTCTATGCTAATTAATGTATGCTTTAGTAACATCTCACTTTCTCTTGCTCTTTTGCTGCATTCAGTTAAGAGACAAAGCCTGAAAGTTCAGATCAATGCAACCAACGATGCAGTGTGCATGACATACATTCATCCAAGTCCAAGCACTAAACTGGAAGGCTTCATCCTGGGGTATGGAAGCAGCTTCTTCTCCAACCAGTATATTCCCCTACCATCTAATGGGAAAACATACATAACTGAAGTTGGTAAGGCTACTTATGATTTACAGATTGTTTTAGAAAAATGATTGTACAAATTGAACACATATTTTCTTGTTGTTTGGGCTAGGGGATAGATGAAAATGAAAGGAAAAGAAACAATGTGTGTTGCCAATACAGTTATTTCTATATATTTTGAAAGATGTTTGTTTGCATTTTTCCAGTTACTGATGTTTTTCAAAATTCCTGAATATGTAAATGAAACAGGCTAATTTGTCACTAATGCAAATGTTAACTACACAGCTTTTTTTAAATATAAGGATTGCATGTTGGTCAATAATTTGTTGATCTGTAACTAATGTTACCAGACTTAGCCTTAATCACCAGAAGCAAATTTAGATTTAATATTAAATTAGAACTAGCAGATTTGGGCTGCAAAAAACTAGATGGCAGAGAAATTCAGAAAACCCTGTTTGCTGCCCTTTAGTAATCATCCAGATTTTTGCAATCCAGGTTTGATAGTCCTAATTAGATCATTTAAAAAATATTTTATTATTTTATTTTATTATTCACAGTACTAATCCTGGACCAATTTTACAGTTTTGCTGTTCTCAGCTGTTGGCAATATCAACATTAATTTTAGTATAGAATCAAAATTCAAAATAATATGCATTACATGTCAGAAAAATATTCCTGTCAGAGTCACACCTTGGGCCAGTCCTTGAGTGGTCCAGGAAGAAAAAAAACAACTGGAGTCTGCTTTAGTTAAAGCTACAGATTATATACAGCTATATACACAAGTTATATTTTACCTACTAACCTATTCCACAGCTCTTAACAACATACACACTAGCACTCAGCAATAACCAGCAGCTCGCAGGCTGCTTATATCCCCCACACAGTGCTGAGTCAGTATCCATCAGGTGTGAGCACTTGGCTCATTAGCCCCAGCTACATGGTTTGTCCTGTGTTATTCTCACAGTAAAATTTCTACCGAGTATACCTTAACAATTCCTATCTCCATAATTTAGCTATTCTGCTTGCATTACTGTATATAACTTTGTTTGTTGAATTTGTAACCTGCCTTTCTGTCCCCGCAACACTCAAGGTGGCATACAACCACAACCACAAAATTACATAAAAAAAAAAAAAGTAACACCATAATTAAAATCAGGAGTAAAATCAGAACTGTTAAAATCAGGTAGCAGTTGCATACTTGTGGAAGAAATAGGTTTTTGACATTTTTCTGAATATAGAGAGAGTGAGACCTTGGGGAGTGCAATCCATATTTCAGGAGCTATATAAGCCCTCTCAGTGCCTAATAGAAGAGCTTCTAGCAGAAGGCTCTTCAAAAGGACTTCTGATCTATGTAACCAGGCAGGTTACATAGCAGGGGAGGCAGTCCCTCAGATAGTCCAGTCCCAAACCATTTAGGGCTTAGTCCCTTAAATTGCTTGGTAAGCAATTTGCAATCAGTGCACATCTTTCAGTATAGGCATCATATGATCCTTGTAGTTTGCACTAATTAGTTGCAGCTAGGCTCATTGGAACAGGGCTAGCTGACTCCCCACAACTTAACATGGCTTCTAGATCTGGAATCAATTGAAGTCTCAAAAAAAAAAAAAAGAATTGTTATTGAAAACTAGAATAAAGTCATATTGGAGAGTTGATTGCCCTCTGTCAGCATAAAGGTACAGTTCCCTTTGTAAACCAAAGGAAATTCAAACCTGCTGCTTAGTGTTCCTGGCTTCCCATGTCCCTTGCTGCAACATTATGAAGTCACAATTTGTTGTTGTTTTAGCTAAAATTTCAGCCCTTCCCAACATTATCCAGCATGGAAAAGCCTTCTTCAATTGGTGTACAACAGTGGTTTTCAAACTTGGCAACTTTAAGATGTATGGACTTCAACTCCCACAATTCCTAGCCAGCATGCTGGATGGGGAATTCTGGGAGTTGAAGTTCACACATCTTAAAGTTGCCAAAAACTTTATGTTTTTGTGAAAAAAATTGGTGTAGACGATGCCCTGGTTACTCCATTCACTGTCATTCTTTTCTTTCCTATTGTATTATTGATTGCTTGGAATTTTTATTCATTGAAACTACAGATCAACTGATGGCAACAAAGATTTAGGATTTCTTATATCTTTTGGCTGCCATCTGGATCATCTATATTTTTATAGCTGAGATGCATCCAGGGAATAAGTGCTAATGAAGAAATTTGAGAAGGAGTTTAGCCGTGGGGATCATTATGAGAGCTGTATTATCGAATTACCTTAAGAATATAATAGTATAAGGAAAGAAAGCAAGGAGCCCCAGCTTCCCTGGGAGTAGCAGGCAGGGAAAGGGAAACTACACACACACAAAAGCTGAGTTCTTTCAATCTCATGCATTAAGCCAACCACAGTTTGGCCAGTTTCAAGACCTCATACGCTTTAGGTCTATGAGTCAATTGAAGTAGGTTTAAAATAGTGGCTGCAGAAGTTGCAGCCTTCCTATAGCCAAAAGAGGGCAGAGGGGTGGGCAAAGAGGTCAGTAATCAGATTGAAGTGGGTGGTCACACAAGAAACTAGCAGAACCAATTGGAGTTATGAGAGCCAGCCATTACAAGTGGCAAGAATTCAGAGTTAGGTAAAAGGTCTTTATGGTGGTTTATCACAGTGCAGGAATACAAAACCTCAGGAAAATAAGTTTACATCAAAGTTCTATGCAGACAGATCCAAGATCCAGGAATCAGAGCTAAGTGTAGTCATGTACCAGTTCAAAGATCTGTCAGCAAATCAGAGGGAACACACATTCAGGAAGTCAGATCCAGGGATGGAACATTGTCAGCCAAAGTCTGACTCCCAAAGTCTTGTTTTCCTGATTAATGCCTCTTTCTTCTGAGGAACCTCATTGAATGTCTTTGTTTTCCTCATTTGATCTTTCTGTGGGTGGGAGGGCTGGGGATTTTTTCTTACTCAGGCTCTAGGTCATGTGACTCAGTCTGCTGCTGTGCCCTGCAAAAGGTGGCTGGTTATCTAACTGCTCCAGACTTGTAGGCTCATTCTTGTCTGCAGCTTTCTGAGAGCCTGCTGGCTCCTGGGTTGCGAGGTCATAACTTCCTCCAATTCAGAGTCTGACAGCCCTGTAAAAAACAGTGCCAGCATGCAGCAGGTCATTTCATGCCACCTCTCTTATGCATATCAGTGTGCCCTACATTGCCTGCAAACAGCATCTTGAGGCAGAATATTAGGAAAACATGACTTCCAGAGTTCATGCTCTCAGCTTCAAGAAGACACTGAAATATAGGTACAGGAATTGCAAGGGCTCCCACCTTTATGTTGTTCCGAAAATAATTGAAAATCTAGCTCTTATCCCAGGCTTTGGGAACAGGGTGATTATGGACACACACGCCCTCCTTTTCCTTTTCCTTTTCCTTTTCCTTTTCCTTTTCCTTTTCCTTTTCCTTTTCCTTTTTTTGCTTTGGTCTGTTTTGGTTTTGTTCTGGTATTTTTGCTGTTCCACTCTGTTGTATTGTTTATATGCTGGGGTCTTTTTAATTGTAAACCACTCAGAATCCCTTAAGGGTTGGATAGCCTATAAATTAAAACAAATGGGCAAACATAATTAGTGAGCTATCCTCATACTGTAGCTGTGTGGATTTGCCCACTAAAGCCCAGCAATTGTTGGTTGCTGACAGAATTAACATCTCTATCCCGACAACTGCTAGATTTCCTCTTAACACTCACAGCAGCCTAACCTCAATTGTCATTTAGTTATCTTTCCAGTCCAGGTAGTTCTAGATTAATTATAATTTCATAGCAAAAGAAAGAGAAAACCCATTTAGATAAAGTCAGAATTAGTTCCTTTTCAGTAATAAAACAGTTCACTCATGAAATTTCTCTTCAGGAAGGTAACCATTGGATGGGAACAACTCTGTCATGTATGAAAAACATATTTCCAGTATTTATTTTGATGATGTAAATTTTGAGAAGGCAATTTAAATATCATTTATAGGTTGTAATATTATTGACATATGCTACATCTTATATATACATTATAATATTTTCAAGGGAGTCTTGATTTATTTAACAATATTTAACAATATTTATAACCTGCCTAATCTATGTGGACTCTGGGTGGTGTACAACAGTTCAAAATACAATAAAAAACAAAACAGTTAAAACAACAGCAACAATAATACTAATATCTTCTTAAGGCAGAATATCACAGGTAAGAATTTTAAGGTTAATGCACTTTTGATGAGTAAAACTCCTGAAACTTCAGAGATCCTCAAACAGCTGCTGGCAAACATCAGAGCAAATATTAACTCATAGTAAGTGTTTATATAGTCAACTGTGTTAGACAAATGTTCATAATGGAGTAGCAGTTGGTTTGGAACTTTTAAATGCCTTCTGGCTATTTTTGGCAATGTTAAATCTATGTTTTTCTGGAATGGATTTCTAAGGTTGCAGACCTTTATGAGTAAACATACAGTACTTAGCATTGCATTGCACAAGGCTTTCCTTCCTTTTAGAGCAAATATATCCAATACATACTTTTTAATTTCTTAAATACATTTTCACTTTGTAAGTCCAGACATTTGGAAACCATTTAAATGTTTTCCCCTAGTATTAAACTAATAAAACTTATAAAATCAATTTAAACACTTGCCAGAGAGTTTTATAGTTTACATCAATTTATAAGTACACTTTTTATAATAAAAATAGTTCTACATTGGTCAATTAAAAGAAAAAGGAAAAAAAATTATACAAGCACATCGAATTGTAAAAAAAAATAAATAGAAAAAGTATTGTCGTTACAACAGGAGAATATTAGAACAGCAAAAAACAAGCATTTTGGATAGCAACAGGTCTGAAAGTGATGCCAGAAAGAAAGAACCATGGTAAACTTTCAGATACAATTCAATGTATAAATAATGCCCAAACTGCAGTGAAAATTTGAGATAACTTGGGAATAGAGATGATAGCCTTAAAATGTAAGGTTTGTTTTTAAGGGCTCACTAATATTATACTGCAAAATGTTTGATGGTGGCAGATTTACACACT